TATATATATATATATATATATATATATATATTTTCCCCCTCTTCTCAGGTCTACAACATTTTTCTGAACACACGTAGACTTCAAAAGGGATTGTAAAATTCTCAAACACCCATATTATTCTGGCACCAAGTTTCCTCTGTGTAAGGAAGGTGTCACGTCAGGCTGAGCTCTAAGATGACCATACTCCATTCTCAGATTTTACCTACTGATGGGCAGGAGCCAGTGCCCCCAGGGATCGTTTTGGCAACACTGAATTACTTACGGTTGAGAGGCAGACTCGCATTGGTTGTGCCTAGCTTGTTGGCAGCCACACAAGTATAGTTGCCGAAGTGCTCCTGTGTCACATTGGTAACAGTGAGAATGGATCTTGTGCTAAAATTTTGAATAATAATTCCTTGTTGGCCATTGAAGAGCCTAGGAGACAAAATAAACTCTAGGTAAATATGTGTTGTGAATACCATTTTCGTGTTTATATAGATAGGGTTGTCATGGCAACGCATAGGCAGTTCGATCACACTGGTTTTAGCATATCATGTGATAATGGTGCAATTATATTTCCTCACATTAGCAGATATTGGGGAAGAGAAGTTGTAGAGCTGTAGACTGTTCCTATGGGATTATTTTCGCTGTATAACAAACTGAGCTTAGATATCCACATGTCCTATTTCTATACATTGATCTGCATTTTAGAAAATTAAACACACCACAACAATGACATCTCATATGTTAAAGTCAAGGAGTAAAGTGAATTAAATATAATGATTCCATTAAAAACACAAACTGATGGTTTCTAGAAAGCTAGTTAGGATATTCCTAGGTCATTTCAGATGATATTCTTGGATAACTCTCATGAAAGTTAACTGTGATAGGATGGTTTTGAGTCTAGGGTGAGCACCGCTTTCTGCTGCTACATACAACCCAGACTGATGATTTCTTGTTAAAACTAGAAAAGAGCAGCAGTAAGTATTGGGGAGAGCATTTAAAGTTGAGCCGCATCTCGGCTACATTTTAGAAATGTCCCTGGGAAAGTCCTTTAATCTTTCTGAGCCTCAGTATCGGATTCAATTTTAACTATTCCACCCTGACTACCCAACAGTCTCTTTCCAGATTTAACCAGCAGAGGTCCTCACTTCTCTCTCAGTGCTCACTGTGCCCACTCCTGCTTCACCCTTCCAGCCCTTCCAATGATCTGCACACAGTGGTCACTATCCCCTTCCATCTCTGCCAGCCAGATCCTTCCCTCCTCAATTAGGTCTGACCTATGTCCTGTCTCTCTTATTCTAATGATTCTTAAATCACTCCCCTTCTTCTCTCTCTCTGCATGTTTCTCTTAAATTGTTACGGGATTTATAAAACCAAAATCATGTTCTTGTATTGTTCTAATAGTTTCCATGCATACAAGTCTTTTTAACCCAAACAAATGAAATTATTTTAAACTCCTCAAAAGGCAGGGCCATAGGGCCACACTTTGTTTTATATTTGAGTTCTACATAACACTTAATAGTGGGATCCTTGGTATCCTACGTACATAATAGTTCATAGGCCGATGGAGCCAGCGTGACATCTCCACAACACAGGGATGGGTAAGCCCCTTTCAGTGGCTGTTTCAGGAAATTCTCCCTCTCAATATGAATTCTGCTATAAGGAGTATGCCAGCCAGATAATAACTTCTCCCTTACTAACCCCAAGTTTACTGTGAAAAAGATACGCTGATCACAATATGGGCTATGTAAACTTCAGCTCAAATGACATGGTAGATGGGAGTTTTCCCTCTTTAATGTGTTCAAGTTTTATCACTAAATATTTCTTTAATCAAGAAGATGCTAATAAATGGCATTCCCCTGAGAGTTTAGGTTGAACTCCTTTGCATTACATTATGTGACTTGCATCTGAATTTAGGTAAAATGTACTGTAGTTAAGTGCAGATTAAAATAAGCAGCCATGCTTGATTACTATGGGAATTACTTATATTTCATGTAACAGCTGAATTTGACTTAACCAAAACCCCAAATTTAATCAGATTAATAAAACTTTGAATTGAATAAACACTGAAAAACTTTAAGCCCTAAACTTAAGGATCTTCAAATCTAACACAGAAAATAGGGCATAAAATAGCAAAGATATGGCCGTTTTTACTCTTCTGTCTCATTTGCAAATCTATCAACATTTATGCCAACATTTCACACTGACCACTGAATATTTTTCTGCATCATACCGATAACTTTATTTTTACTACTTAGTGTATGCTTTGTGTAAAAATTCAGTTTCATTGTCCTGAGAGCATCAGCACCAGGGCTCAAATCAATTTGCCCTGTCTAGACTATGGATACATTCAGAAAGTCCCTAGACTACTCTTTCAAATCCCTGATGTGCCCCGTCTACCAAAGCCAGGATTCATTTTGCTACTACAGAATTGAGAGGAAATTAGTCATGGTGTTCATTTGACTAGACTCTGGGGAGAAAATCTCAAGGGAGTATATTCAGTTGCATCATGGCACTGTTTGCTTTGTTCCTTATGACTGTATTTCTAAGTTGGCTTCCAGTTCTCTGCTCTGGAATGGATGTGAAGGCAAAGCCCCAAGATGTTGCTGAACCATGCATTGTATCCATGCTTTGTATGTGTAGGACTACCTCTGGCCTCGGGCCAGTAGTGCTATCTGCATCCTTACCAGAATGGCACATTAGCAGGAGCAAACTCTGCTGCTTCCAGCCTGGCAGGTGATTATAGCCATCTTCCCTAGGGGAGATTTTCTTCTCTTTAGAGGAAGCTACCTCTCTGAGCTTATTGGAAAAGTCCAAAGTTACTTACTTCTATACTTGGAAGTTTTAGACAGGCTTACTCTTCAAACACCCTTTAAGAACCTTCCTTCACTTGGTAAATGGCTGGGACAGTTTTTCCAGAGCTGCCTTTGGGGGAGAGTGACTCTGAGATTGTGTATTACTATGGAGGCTGTTCTTCTGTGATTTTCCTGACGAGATCCTAGGGCTGGAGTGGGGTGGGGGGCTTACACAGCCATTCAAATCAATTCTGAAAATAGTCATTAACTGTTACAAAATTAGTTCTTTGCTAGGTTAGTAGGTACTAGGCCAGAGTACACATGATTTTTGAAAGTCTTTGAAGGCTCTTGAGAAGGTCAAAGCTGAAGAAAAGAATCATACATATAAACAGGTGTTTACAACATAGGGTATTTTCGTCACAATTGGGACTCCATTAAGAAGAATGCATCTATCCTTGGTTATTGGATGTAGAAATTTGAGCCACACCAAGAAGTTTTATAATGTATAGTCCATACATATACATAATTTTACTCCATAACTGATGGCACTTTTTCTTCATGAAACAGATTTATCCCAATACAGTTGGATAAAATTACATTTCCTGTGAAGAAAACCATTCTTGTTTTTTTTAATCAATGAAAACATGTATTTGACAAATTGAATTGTTATTCTGTGTTAGAGAAAATTCTTGATAAGTTTCATGCATGCACGTATGAGAGTCTTCACAGAACGTCCTGGTCCACTGGGTTTTTCATATCCATCTCAGACTTGACACTGGACTCCCTTAAATCGGTGATATGAGATCTGAGAGTGACAACTCAAGCAAGAGTTCATGATAAACCTTGCAATAAAACCTGAGAACTAGATCTAGAATATTGCCTTATTTGGAGTTTTTTCTCTCCTTTCCCTAAATACTTAGCTCTTTCAAGTTCTAAGAGAATCATTCCTGTTTGACTTAGGTTACAGAATGAGAGATATTTTCTTGTAGTCCCTCCCCATAAAGAAAAACAAACTAATTCTGAGCTAGGAGCTAAATATGGCATTCCGTTCCTTAGCTGTAGATCATCAGCATATGGCGGCTGCTCAGAAATGCATCGTCACTTGTATTTTTTGCATTTTTATCACCCAGTAGACCCTCCTGACTATAAGATCCTTCTGTTGCTGTGGACCCTGCTGTCCTGGCACCCTCTGCCACCACTAGGAGTTTGGTCCACACTGCTATGATCTGAATTCTTGTGTCCCCCCAAAATTTGTATGTTGAAATCCTAACCGCAAAAGGTGATGGGATTAGTAGGTAGGGTCTCTGGGAAGTGCTTAAATTGTGAAGGTGAAACCCTCATGAATTGCATTAGTGACTTAGAAAAGAGGCTCCAGCAATATCCCCAGCCCCTTCTGGCATGTGAGGATACAATGAGAAGCCTGTGACCCAGAAGAAGACCCCCTCACCAGACCACGCTGGCACCATGGTCTTGGACTTCCAGCCTCTGGAACTGTGAGACACATTTCTGTTGTTGATAAACTACCCAGTCTGTAGTATTTTGCTATAGGAGCCCAGATGGACTAAGACGCATACTGAAGACCATTGCCCTTACTCTTCTTCCTGCTGCCTTTTGCTGAAGCCTCGCACATCTGTGAACTGCAGGCTATCTGCACTGCCAGCAGGTACTGCCAACACATAAGTGACACAGCCTGACCAACTAATAGCTCTGAATTAGAATAGTCCTTTATATTGTTAATTGTTGGCGAGAAGTAGCACATAGAAAGCATACTAATAACTAGGGGTGCTTATACATGGGACTCATGAAATGCTCACAAGCTTTATAATCATATTGCTGTCAAGCCTGGCCAGAATGGCCCATAGCAAACATCACAGCAGCAAAACTGACTACATAGCCATTGGTATTTATTGCTAAGATGGCAAAAATAAATTGAACAATAACACCAGACCTCATCCATTTTATATATAAATACAGCCTCACTACACATTTTGGGACTACTCTTTACCATCTGTCTTTCAAGGTCAGGAGTAACATTAAATATTTCAAGGAAAACAAACTTTCAGGTGCAAACCTTCATAGAAAGACATCATTGCTAATATAGAAAATATAGATAAATGTATCAGACAACATTCAAAATATTAAAATCACTTGGCATAGGAGTAGGAGAGCTACTCAGATGATGACATATCTTTTATCAGATCAGAATTACATGGCAATATGATTATATATTATATAACTGGGTAAGATTAATATGGTCCTAATTGATCTTTGGGTATTAGCATAGCAGAGATGTAAGACAGTAGGGGAAGGAAGATAGTTCTTGAATCATAAGAGTTATATTTACAAAGAAAAGGAAGGTTACTTCCAACAATGGATTACAGACTTATGAATTCCAAGAGGTTTTATGAGCTAAAGATAAACCTCAAAAAAAGAGCTTTAGAAGAAGTCATGGGTGATGGTAGCACTCTGATAGGGTCTTAATGGAAATAAAGTTTTATTTGGTCATCAAAAGATAATTAAATGCCACCTGTGCTTGAGGCACTGTTTTAGGAACCAAAGGGGAAGAGAAAATATGCCACAGTTACTGTCTGAAGGACCTTAGCTACACTTGAAACTCTGAAGATGACACTGAGATGG